ACTGCCCAAAGTAATTTATAGATTCAAAGCTATTCCCATCAAGCTACCAATGACTTTATTCACAGAATTAGAAAAAACTACTTTAAATTTCATACCAAACCCAAAAAGAGCCCATATAGCCAAGACAATCCTAAGCAAAAAAGAACAAAACTGGAGTCATCATGCTACCTGGCTTCAAACTATATTACAAGGCTACAGTAACCAAAACAGCATGGTACTGGTACCAAAACAGAAATATAGACCAATGGAATAGAACAGAGGCCTCAGAAATAACACCACACATCTACAACCATCTGATCTTTGACAAATGTGACAAAAACAAGCAATGGGGAAAGGATTCCCTATTTAATAAATGGTGTTGGGAAAACCGTCTAGCCATATGCAGAAAACTAAAACTGGACCCCTTCCTTACACCATATGCAAAAATTAACTCAAGATGGGTTAAAGATTTAAACGTAAGCCCTAAAACCATAAAAACCCTCGAAGAAAACCTAGGCAATACCATTCAGGACATAGGCATGGGCAAAGACTTCATGACTAACACACCAAAAGCAATGGCAACAAAAGCCAAAATTGACAAATGGGATCTAATCAAACTAAAGAGGTTCTGCACAGCATTAGAAACTATCATCAGATTGAACAGGCAAGCTACAGAATGGGAGAAAAATTTTGCAATCTATCCACCTGACAAAGGGCTAATATCAATAATCTGGGAATTTAAACAAATTGAAAAGAAAAAAACAAACAAGCATCAAAAAGTGGGTGAAGGATATGAACAGACGCTTCTCAAAAGAAGACATTTATGCAGCCAATAAACATATGAAAACAAGCTCAACAACACTGCTCATTAGAGAAATGCAAATCAAAACCACAATAGGATACCATCTCTTGCCTGTTAGAATGGCGATCATTAAAAAGTCAGGAAACAAAAGATGCTGGAGAGGATGTGGAGAACTAGGAATACCTTTACTCTCCTGGTGGGAGTGTAAATTTGTACAACTGTTGTGGAAAACAGTGTGGCGATTCCTCAAGGATCTAGAACTAGAAAAACCATTTGACCCAGCAATCTTGTTACTGGCTATATACCCCAAAAATTGTAAATAATTCTACTACAAAGACACATGCACATGTATGTTTATTGCGGCACTATTCACAATAGCAAAGACTTGGAACTAACCCAAATGCCCATCAATTATAGACTCGATAAAGAAAATGTAGCATATAAAGACCATACAATACTACGCAGCCATAAAAAAGAATGAGTTAATGTCCTTTACAGGGAAACATGGATGATGCTGGAAACCATATTCTCAGCAAACTAACACAGGAACAGAAAACCAAACACTGCATGTTCTCACTCATGAGTGGGAGTTGAATAGTGAGAATATATGGACACAGGCAGGGGGCCATCACACACTGGGGCCTCTCAGGTTGTGGGGGGCCAGGGAAGGATAGCTTTAGGAGAAATACCTAATGTAGATGACAGGTTGATGGGTGCAGCAAACCACCACGGCACATGTATACCTATGTAACCAACGTACACATTCTGTACATGTATCCCAGAACTTAAAGAATAATGATAAAATAAATAAATAAACTGAGTTTTATGTTAAGGTTCTTGAGTGTTGGTCAAATAAGTTAAGGTAAGGGGATTGGGGGATGGATTAGTTTTCTACTGCTGCTGTAACATTACCACAGATTCAATGGCTTACAACAACACAAATTTATTATCTTATAGTTCTGTTGGTTAGGAGTCTTAACACGGATATCACCGGCCAAAATCAAGGTATGGGCAGGGCTGTACTCCTTTCTGAAGGATCTAAGGGGAATATGTGTCTTTGTTCTTTTTTTTTCCGAGATGAGGTCTTGCTGTGTTGTCCAGTCTGAGGTGCAGTGGCGAGATCTCAGCTCACTGCAGCCTCAACCTCCTAGGCTCAAGTGATCTTTCTACCTCAGCCTCCAGAGTAGCTGGGACCACAGGTGTGCACCACCATGTTCAACTATTTTTTAAAATTTTTTGTAGAGACAGGGTCTTGTTATGTTGCCCAGTCTGGTCTCAAGCTCCTGGACTCCCACCCTGGCCTCCCAACATGCTAAGATTACAGATATGAGGCACTGCACCCAGCCTGCCTTTTCAGTCTTCTAGATACTGCCATATTACTTGCCTCACTGTTCCCTTCCTCTATCTTCAAAGCCAGTAACCTGTTTCTTACTGACCATTCTTCTGTGTCACATCTCCCTTACTCTTGTCTTTTACCTTCCTCTGACTTTTAAGGATCCTTGTGATTACATTGTGCCCAACTGGATAATCTAGGGTAATCTCCCTATTTTTAAGGTCAGCTGATTAGCAATCTTAATTCTATCTGCAAACTTAATCTCCTTTTGCCATATATTGTTCACAGGTTTGGGGGATTAAAATGTAGACCTCTTGGGGAGTGTTATTCAGGAGGTAAACTGCAGAGGTTTGTAAACAAAAAAGAAGGATGCTGAATTAATACAGTCTGGTTAATGTAAGTCAGACTTTTTCAGAATTGCTTTTGAGATTTCAATTGGATTGTTGGCAACATGAGCCTAATCAAAATTCCACTCCCAGGCTGCTACGATTGATATGCAATTTCTAAATGTATGTTTAAAATACTAATACAGCTTGGGCAACACAGTGAGACCCCCCCATCTCTGCAAAAAATAAAAAAATGCCAGGTATGGTGGTGCATGCTGCTAGTCCTAGCTACTTGGGAAGCTGAAGTGGGAGGATCACTTGAGTTGGGGAAGTTGAGGCTACAGTGAGCTGTGATGGTGTCACTGTACTCCTGCCTGGGTGACAGAGCAAGACCCTGTCTCAGAAGTATAATAAAATACTAATATTAATATTACTGATAATAAAACTACTACCACACCTAACATTTCTTCGGCTTTATGTATTAGGCCCCTTTTAAACTAATTATATGAACTAACTTTATCCTGAAATATGGTGAGGAAGAAACAATCATTTTCCCTATTTTCACATGAGGAAAGTAAGATAGTAACTTGTCCAGGGTTACAAGGTGAGGATTTGAACTGCAACCCAGGCAATGTGGCTCCAGGGATTTTGTCATTACATTATACAGACTCCTTCTGTGTGTCTCTCTGGGTTGGGGGGCATGGCGTGTCTCATGAATATCTGTTTTGGGTTAGATATCAAAGGGTACAAGTTAGAAACAATGTTTTAGGAGATTAATTAGGGCAGGATCTTTTCAAACACCCATGGAGGAAGAAGTGGCTTTTTACCATACTGAACCTACACAGACACCAGACTTCTTTAGTTCAGGTCAATCTAAATACAACAGCAAAACCATCTACTCTTTTCTTTTCCCTCTTTTCCTCTCTTCCTTTCAACAAATATTTTTTGGTTATTGACAATGTTAAAACAAACTGTACTGGACATTACATAAAGCTGGTTAACTCAGACATGAGACTCCAAGGAACAATATTTAGTGGAAGTAAATGATAAAAATCTGCCCAAAATTTTGCTCATTAATTTATAAAATCATAATTGCATTATTGTAAACCTTTTTCATTTCTTTTTTCCACCTCTATTTTCTTCTCTATGTTCTTAGTATTTCTCTGCCTCTACTCATATTTTCATTACCTTCTTTGAGCGTTGTTTTTCATCACTTTGCTCTCATGCCTTTTGTTTTTTGCTTCTCTCAGTTGTCTAAATTATTATCTCCTAGGTAGCCCCACCATATATTGAACCCACTCTGGAAATAAACTATTTTATTTTAAAATACTAAAATTCCCCTGAATTCATTTTCTCCTTTCCAACTGCTTTATCACTTTATTTCATCCATGAATGAAAGTTCAGACCTTCATTCACTCTGCTCCTTATAACAAGTTTTTTACTAAACTCCTGCTTATAATTCTCCCAAATCCCCTGACAATATATCTGTCTTCACATTTTTCTCTGACTTTTCTAGCAAATCGAATCTTGTCATTCCCCTACTCAAAATTTGTTTGTTCTCATGATCGACCAGATAAAATCCAAAGTCCCTTACAAGGTACAAACAATCCCTATCTACCCATCTAACTTCATTTTTACCTTATCTCCCAATTCCCCTTTGTGTGGTACTCTCTAGCAGCACAGGCATGCTTGTTGGTTACAGAACACATCACATTCAGCCATGCCTCTGTAATCTTCCATCTATCATTCTCCTATTCACTCTGCTGCTTTTCCTCCATCCATATGTAAAATTTCTAGTCATTCTTTAAGACTGTTCAAATGTTATCTGTGCTGTGAAGGATTCCCAGTCTCATTTAGGCAGACCTGAGAGTCCTCCTCTGCTCTCTCACATACTGTGCATCCCTCCAATGTTTGCAAGAATATTGACATTAGCATTTGGAGTCAGGACTTGGGGTTTTCTATGTCCAATACGTAACACAGACTCCAGTACATAGCAGTTTAATCGTCTTTATTAAAGCTACCTATTATTTAGCCTACCTACCATATGATAGAGTATAGCTTTTCTTTCTGCCTGCATATCAGTTTCTCAAACTATATTTTTTGGAACACCAGCACCTCTACAGGAGTTGTATACTATGAATGAGTTAGGCTTTAGATAGTTATGTAAAATGTAAGTTTGTTTTTATTATAAGTTTAAGAGAAAAGTCCAAATTTTCTTTTCTCATTTTTAAAATTTCATTTGTTTATACTGATACATAATAGATGTACATATTTGGAGGGGGGTACCTGTGACAACACATTCATGTAATTTGTAAAGATAAAATCAGTATAATTGGGATATCCATCACTTTAAATATTTGTTTTTTCTTTCTGCGAGAAACATTTGAATTATTCTCTTCTAGTTATTTTGAAATACATGATAGATTATAGTAAACTATAGTCACCCTAGTAGCCTATCAAACACAAAGTCTTATTTCTTCTATCAAATTGTATATACCTTTTGTTTTTAATTTCATAATAATTCTCAAGTGCAAAGTTCATTTAAAAATCACCTAAACCATCTAAAATGAGAAATTTATGTTTGTTTTACCATGACCTGGATGAGGAGCAACAACAAAAATACAAAGCATATGTATATATTGCTGAAATGACAACATAATTACCTCCAAATTTACTTCTTTCCAACCCATCTCTGCTAACCTGGATTATTGCCAATGAAAGAATAAATTTTGCTCATTTGCCTTGTTTTTACTTACATTAATTGATGGAGTGATGTTGGCTCTGTGATTTTAAGCAGTTCATCGTAGCAAAAAGTAACTGTTAGAAGGGAAGCTTTGGGGAAATATTCACTGAAAAACAAGTTGAGGTCCAATCAGGAATACAGAAACTATACTATGTAACCAAGGGAATATTATTAAAATGTTACACAGGGATGGGGGGATGGTTCTCCAGACCAAAAAGGGAAACACTGTGGTGACCCACAGATATAAGCTGTGGGAAGCTGTTACTGACCTTAGAGCTAGGAGGACAAGGGGAAAAGGTTGTGTTATTAGAACTCAGAAGTTTAGAGGAGCCATCCTTCTTAGCTGGGGCTTGGACCTCTGAGAAGTAGAAACAGCCTAGCTGGGGCTGGTACTTTTGAGGAGTCATGAGGACTCTGGGACTTAGAGTGTAAAAGAAGTGGGAGACTGGAATCAACAGCTAAAGACAGGATGACAGGTTATTATTGCTGAGGTGATGCTGATAGCAGGAAGCAAATGGAAAGGAACAAGTCCCTTTTCTCCTACTCCAGGGGTCCACATTTCCTCCAGTAACCTCTATTGATAGAACCTGTCAGGAAGCCAGTTGGTAAAGGAGATACATTGTTTGCAGAGTCCTAGCACCAGCCTTACAAAACCAGGGCAGAACTATGAATACGAAGTGGAGAGATAATAGTTTAATAAACAGCACTAACAACAATTATATCAAGAGTGTTAAGCAATGGTCAGAGTAACCACCTTCCAGCTTAAAAAAACTATACACGATCAATCCTATGTTCAAAACCTTCAAGAAGTATAAACCTCTACTGAATGAGACATGCACTCAAGTATGGTATGTCATCATAACCATTTAGTCATCCAATTTGGAATCTATATGGCAGACATTATTCTAGGTACTTGGGGTTTTGGTTTTGTTTTGTCTTGGTTTTGTTTTTTTGCGGGGACAGCGTCTTTCTCCAGCTGCCTAGGCTACAGTACAGGGATGCGATCTTGGCTTACTGCAGCCTCGATCTCCCGGGCTCAAGTGATTCTCCCACCTCAGCCTCCAGAGTAGCTGGGACTATAGGAACACGCCACCACACCCAGCTAATTTTTTTTGTATTTTTAGTAGAGACGAGGTTTTACTATTGATATGGTTTGGCTGTGTCCCCACCCAAATCTCATCTTGAATTGTAGCTCCCACAATTCCCACGTGTTGTAGAAGGGACCTAGTGGAAGGTAATTGAATCATGGGGGCAGGTCTTTCCTGTGTTGTTCTCCTCATAGTGAGTAAGTCTCATGAGATCTGATGGTTTTATAAAGGGGAGTCCCCCTGGACATGCTCTCGTGCCTGCCACCACGTAAGATGTGACTTTGCTCCTCCTTGCCTTCTGCCATGATTAAGGCCTCCCAAGCCATGTGGAACTGTGAGTCAATTAAACCTCTTTCCTTTATAAATTACCCAATCTCGAGTATGTCTTTATTAGCAGCATGAGAACAGACTAACACAGCCATGTTACCCAGGCTAGTCTTGAACTCCTGGACCCAAGCAATTTGCCAGCCTCGGCCTCCCAAAGTGGTGGGATTTCAGGCAGGAGGCACCGTGCCTGGCCTACTTGAGTTTTAACAGCGAAAATATAGATACTCGCTTGCCCTTGTGGAGTGTTCATTCCAGTGAAAGGGAACAGACAGTAAATTAGAGACATGTCAGATAGTAAGGGCAATGGAGAAAATAAAGCAAGTTAAGGGCAGAGGGATTAGGGTGGGAGTAGCTCTTTCATATGATGTGGTCCTGGAAAGCCTCAATGATAAATTTGATCAAAGACTCAAAGGAAATAAGAGGGAGAAAGTCACATGAGCATACAGGGAAGATCTCTTCAGTAAGAAAGACTAGAATTTAATAAGAGTAAGGTTGTTGAACGTTTTGCAAGTGGATGGACTTTTCCGTGGTTCTGCAGTTTGTTTTTTATTATTTGCATAATTCTCTTTACAAAAACTGTGATCCTAACTGGGTACCATAAACTTATTATCAAATACAGTACAAAGTTCAAATATTCTACAAAACATTGTTCACCTCTTCTACTAAAGGAAAAGCTATGCTTCCTCACACAGCAGGTTATAAAAAATTTGCTGATGTTAAGAAGAATTAGCTGAAGTATATAATGTCTTACCTCTCCTATAAAAATACCTCCTTTGTTTCAGAGTCAGCTATGAAATTCTAATAATAGTCTCAAACCTTTCACTCGGATTATGTTAGTAAATGTAAAATGCCCAGCATTGTACATAATTACTTCTTTGTTAAGATGTCAACCTTTGTTTTTTAGTTAAGAGTTAATGAACCTTGATAACTGGCAAACAATCTTTGAGCCAAAAGTAGGATGGACACCATCAGTACTCTTAACCCAAAACAATGAAACCATTGTTGGCATTGGGATTATGTTGCTTTCTGTTCAGATAATTTTTTTTCTGAAAAAAATGCATGCATACTTTGTTATTCAATGGTGTCAGAAATATTAATAAGTATAATTAAGTATTCCTTAAACAGTTTGTTACTCAAACAATAAATGTGAACTTATCTATAAAGTTAGAGGACTAAAAATGGCACAGAAAGCAGTAATACTCTCATGTTAAAGATTTTTTAAAAAATGAACAGTATTTCTGCCCTTGAAAAACATGAGTTGTATACGTAATGTAAAATCTTTTTCTGTGGCAAGTAAAAATTTCCAACAGGAAAGCCTGGGTGGGTATGTCTAAAATTCATGCATCTGAGAATGTAATTTAAGATTGGGCACTTTTATTACAGAAAATAGAAATTTGAGTTACCTTATATTACTTTTTAACTTAAAGAATAATCTTGAGAGGTCAATGGTGTCCACTGGAAGGCAAGAACTTGGTTCTGGCAGGAAAACCACCACATATGGCTGGTAGTATTTGCAGAGCACTTAACCTCTGTGCCTAGGTTCTTGTAGCTGTCAAGTAGAGATAATGGTAATTGCTAGCTTCCATGGGAAGTGAGCTTGTGCTTTGACATCTTTAGTTGAAGATGCTGTATAAACACAAATTATTATTATTAGAACACAATACATATATGCACATAAAACACCAGCATGGTGCTCTTTTAATGCTTATATAACATCTATAAATAATGCTCTTCCATACTCTCTATTCACTTTCGGTCAGAGAAGATCATAGCAGACCACTATTCAATTTCCATAAGTATGGAGGAAATATATTTGTTAAAGCTCCATGTCATCTTTTTGAGAATTAAACCTGCTAATTCCTTATGGTCTCTGTAGCAATTGCCCAATGGCCCCCACCCAAGTTAAGCCTTTGGCATCTTTTAAAATGTTGGCTAAATTCTTGGAGATGCGGAACCATCAGGGAAAACCTGGGGGAATGAAATTGGCTAGTGATATTAAAATTTTGGTTGTTTAACATTTAACTGAGTCTCAACAACGTGTTAAAGTGCTATCTAAACAGATAATTAGCTAGTAGCTGTGCAGTGGGCTGTCTAAATTTAGCAGTGAAATTAGGTTTAGGGAATGAGAATATAGAAAAAGAAATTTTCTCAAGGGAAACGGTGGTGTCAGCACAGCTGAGGAATGTCACAATAGCTACATTTTGTCAATTATGATCATCATCAGGGGATCTCCCGGAGCGATGCAGGACAAGGTGTATTCATAAACGCATCTTGAGGATAGGTGATAGAAAACCTTGGCTGCAGGAGACAAGCTTACAGGGGACGACAGAGGCAGACAGGCACAGGGAGGGAGGGAAGAGGAAAGGGCTGGAGGGAAAAAAGGCACTAGACCGAGCGCTGGGAGACTGGATGGGAGGCAGAAGTTAAGAAAGAAAAAAGAGGTGGGCAGGGTATAGAATGGCTTGTAGCCTTGGAGGTGAGTAAGGCCTTGTAATCCAGCGGGCGGAAGGTGGGAAGACCCTATTGACCGAAAGCCGAGGACAGCGTGGTCTTGGCCGCAAGCATGCATTAGTTTAGCTGCGACAGGCTAATTTCTGGGCGGCTGATCCTTGTTCAGCTTTCCTGCTACTGGAACACATTTATGGCTATCTCGTGGAGATGACAGGACCTACATAAAATTAATAGTGTCAGGCCTGCGGACTGGTGTCCTCTGCCTACAATCCGCCGCCCTACGCCGGACAGTCCAAATTGTCCACCCTCCTACTCCCCCCCGCGGAACCGATATGGCAGTGGCTCCAAGGTCAAGCCGCCGGTACTGTGCGAGGCGGGAGGATGGAGAGGGCAGGGCAGGCAGCCACCTGGGGTGAGTGAGGGTCATGGTGGACCACAGACGCTCTTCTTATAAGGGCAAATGTTTAATACTTCCCGAGGTCGCTTCTCTGCGATCAAAGGGAAACAGGCAAGAAAATAAAACTACACATACGAACAGGCAAATGAAACAAAACCAAGGAAAAACACCAACGCACTCGTTGGGGAAAATCCATGGCCTCCTGTTGCCAGTCGCCCGGCGCGGAAAGTGGACAGCCCAGCGGCCAGTGAGAAGCAACAGCAAGAAAGCAAACCTTCTGAGACCCCTTTCCTCGCCCAGCTCAGCCGACCGTTCTACCAAGCCGCCCTCCCACAGAAAAGAGCAGGAAAAACGCCTGTGCAAACGTGCCTTGGCGAGCGGGGGATAAGTGGGCTGGGAAGAACGGAGGGATTCGGAGAGCACAGCTGTCCCGGGGAACAGGAAGGAGGAGAAAGTCTCTCCCTTCAGTCCCCTGCGCCCCAGCGAGGAGGAAGATTACTAGTCCAGCAGGCTGCGTCCAGCTTCCTACACAGGAACCTTTAGCATGGGCAACGGAAGGGCAGCCCCATCTCGCCTTCCCCTCCCCACCCCTCCTCGTCCCAGGTCCCCGCCAGAGGGAGAGCGCCACCCGGGAGAGGCGAGGGCCGAGCGTGATTGTCCCGCAGCCCTCGCCTCAGTCAGCGCCGGGGCCTCGGTGGACCCGCTAGGGGTGGAGTGGGCGAGACCATTGGAAAGGCAGGGAAGGGGGGAAACCAAGCAGGAACGAGGGGCGGGGCCGACTAACCTATTCCAGATTTTCCTGTCCCTTTCAAAGCTCTGCTTTGGGAGAAACCCCGTTATCAAAGTGGATGAAAAGAGTGTTTTTTTTTTTTTTGAAAGGGGAGGAGCATGTGTAGGAGGGCGGGGTGGTAGGAGACAGGGCTTGCGCCCGGGGATCAGACGGGAGATGGAGTTGCGCGGGGAGGGCGGGCGAGTCGGGCGCCGGCTCTGAGGGTCTGCTTCTTTTCCCCCTCTCGCGTGGGGCGGGGTGGTGCGTTCCGAGTTCCCAGGAGTTCGAAGCGGGCGGGTGCCGGGGGGAGGGGAGTGGCGGCGGCGGCGGGCGGCTCCCGCCTCAGCCTCGGCAGTGGCGTCGGCGACGGCGGTGTCGAGGCAGCCGCCAGCGCTCTGCCGAGTGTCAGCCGGCAGCGACGGCGCTAGAGCTGGGAGCTGGGGACGCGCGCGCCGGACCTTCCACAGCCTCCGCCCAGAGCCTGAGGCGCCGGGGCCGGGGGAGCCGGGGGGCGGGCGGGAGAGCGGGTCGGGGGGAGGGTGGGGGATGGCGCGGACCCCGCGGCCGGCCCCGCTGTGTCCTGGAGGCGGCAAAGCACAACTTTCCTCCGTCTCTCTCCTCGGAGCCGGGCTCTTGCTGCAGCCCCCGACGCCACCTCCGCTGCTGCTGCTGCTCTTCCCGCTGCTGCTCTTCTCCAGGCTCTGTGGTAGGTGAACCTCGGCGGCCGGCGTGGGCTGAGGGAGCCGCCACTGAGGGTGTGGGCGCCGCGGCCGGCTCTGCCAGCCGTTCTTCGGGGCAGCGAGGCGGTTGGCTGTGCGAGCGAGTGCCGAGGACTTTGGTTGGAAACTTTTCGCCGCGCCCGGGGCGAGGCCCTGGAACGGCCGGGCCAGCAAATGCTGCGCCGGCGGCCCGCTCCCCTCCCCCGCGGCCGCGCGGGTCGCCGTGCGGATGGCCGAGGGTTGGCGATGGTGCTTCGCGCTCCGAACTCCGGGTTTGCTCCGGGGACCGTTACTTCCTCGCTCGTTCCGTGGGAAGCCGAGAGCGCAGACTCGTGGGTTAAGGTGCCGGGATGCACGTTTGCCGCTTTCTTTTTTTCCCGGTGAAACTTGAGCTGTGAGGCCAGAAACACTAGGGACCAGAGCCCGACGGAATGAAGCCTCCGGGTCCACTTCTCATGGCTTTCCAGCCTGGAGAAGGCACCATTTTAGCCCACCCAGCCGCAGAATCCCCTACAGCCAGTTTTCTTCCGTCTTGTGCCCGCCCCCCCCCTCCCCGCCCGGCTCTGCCCTGGCAGCGTCTGGATCTCTCTAGATTGAGCCTCGTCCCTGCCTTCCAGCTTGTAGGACGTCTCTCACACTGCCCGTGCTTATTTTATCAACCCCCAGGAACAAGATTTACGTGTTAAATACCTAATTTCATGGACTGTGTGCCCCGGCTGTTCAAACCAAAACAGTCACGCGCCTGTTTCCCATCCGTTCCCTCGTGTTGTGTTCCTATTTTCCTGTCATGTTTGGGAGTTAGTCTCTGTGAGTTTTGTTCCCAGGTATGCCAGACCAGAAGCCTACTTATTAAGGATCGTGCTAAAAAAAAAAAAGTCTGCCTTTCATGCAAGAGAAACGGACTTAAGTGGTAATTAATGGAAGGCAGTGATTTGGGAAAATAAGGACACCTGCCTTTGGTGGGAGAGGAGTATCAGAACACTGCGAGACATTATTAGAGGGCTCTTGGTAAGAAAAGTAGAGGGGCAGAGCTTAAGCTTGCTCAAAGATTGGTTTTCAGTATTTCGTGAAACCGTAAACTGAAGTTTTACTAGTATTTGTTAAAAGAGATGTGTGCAGATTTCTTGTATAGTGTGATTTAGGAGGAGGAGAATCCTATTACACGGTAGGTGAGTCAAGGTAGCTGCTTATGAGGCAAGCAAAGTTTGCATGATGGAATTGAGTGTCTCGTCTGGGGTGAGAATTTCCACTTCCAGTTTACCACCACGTTTCCAGCACTGTAATGAAATCTGATTTACACAGAGTATAGTATGATAAATGGAATGTTATTAATTGTACACTGTTTCTGTATGCCGACTCCCCAGATACTTGATTCCAAGACAAAGTTCTTAATGCTGTATACCTTTTTAAATTGATGCCAGAGTCTAGATTGAATTTGTGTGCTGTTCTATTCCATGAAGGAGAACTGGGGATGTTGCTTACAGTTGAGTGACAGGGTGGTTGGAGGGGACTTTACGAGTTTACTATCCTGACTTCGTTTATGTTAAGGACTGAGAGAATATACCTCTACAGAGGCAGATCTAGTTAGGCAAAGCTCTGTGGAAGACTGAAGCCAGGTAGTATGCATAGCTGATACAGGAATTATTTACATGATAATTTCTTAGTGGTTGTGAAAATGAATTGTTGATTACTTTTTGAAGGAACACATTGGTTTTCCCATGGAAGAAGAAAACACTTTTTAAAAATCTCCTCAATAATGTACCATTGGAAGGACTTGATATTTTAATTCAGAGCCTAATGTTAAAACTTAAGCAGTGTAGGCAAATGGACTGTGTTTTAAAGCAGGTGTAGTGTTTAGAGTCAACTTTTCTTGTTGTAGAGGTAGACACTAGTTTTGTATTCCTGTGTGCTACTCATTTAAAACAGCTTCCTTTTTTGGCTTAATAGTGTTATAACAGCCTAATTTGTGAGCCCTTATGACGAGTTTTTTCCATCAACCTTTATTTTAGAATTCAGTCTTTGAATAGGGCACAGTTGTTGTGACTTATGGAAGCTTAGTGGTATGGAAGCAAAATTTTCTTCCAGTAAGCTGTTAAGTCTAACAAGTTGTTGATTTAACTCCTGTTAGTTACAATGACATTCATAGTACTACTTTCAAGGTTTGGCATGTAATTAATATTTGCTTGGAGCCAGTTTTAGAGTTGAAAAGAGTTTTAAACTTGAAAAAGATGACTATAGCTGATGATCTGTTGATGAGAATGCTTTGTTTTATCACATACAGATTTTTCTTTTTGCTGCTATTTTTGATATTTTGATATGTTTGATATGTAGCGTGGCATAACTTTATCGCGTTAATTTAACTGTTAAAAATATCCATCAAAACTGGTGGATCTGATATTCTGAAGGCTATAAAAATGTTTATATCAGACTTGCTGGCCATTTGTTTTGGGGTTGTGCATTATCTTATTTGGAGAACTGAACTTTTAAAATGAGAATTTTACAGGTTGTCAAATTACCAGGTTTTTTTTGTTTTGTTTTGTTTTTAAGCCTAAGAAATTTCTAGGTATAAGTGTCAACGGTGCTGGGCTTACATCATCATCTGACTTGATAAACATCATTTAATTATGAAATTCTGAGTTTCTTTATGATGGCAATAATCAATTCATAGATGATCAGATTTATCTCACTTTTACTTCCCACATTTTTTTTGGGATATAGAGAATATTAGCATGGGTATGGTCATGATCAATAACAAGGTAGACTGTTTGACCTTTGTAAGGTCCCATTTGGCTCTGGGATTCTACGCCTCTTTCCATTTTCAGCAAGGTTTCATGTTAAGGTGGATGTTTAAAAGAGCACAGAAAAGAAGATCTGATGTGATGTGGAACTTTTAAAAGCACTTTGACTACTTGATAGGCTTGGGAACATAACACACGCATAAGACAGAGTCCTGGCTTCAAGATGCTTATAACTTTGTGATCGACCTAAAGGAAGCATGATTATAGAACAGTTTGGTGTTTATGGGGTATTTTGATTTGCCCGGAAACGGGACAACTAACCCGTTAGGTAAACACTTATGAATGTTCAATGAAAAAAAAACAGTCACTTAAAAAAATCATCTTTTAAAAGATCTTATTGAGATGTCTTCTTCCTTCCCTCCCTGTCCTTAAGGCCCTTCCTTCCTCCCTTTCTCTCTCTTTCTAGCTGTAAATCATTGACAAGTTATTTAAGCTTGGAAACTTGAAGTTTCTCTTGTTTTAAAAAGAGATAACATTACTACCTTGCTGATAGAGATCTTGTGAGGATTAAATGACAGAATAGAATAAAACACTTAGGAGAGTTCATGAAATATAGTAACACTCAAATGTTAGCATTTGTTATATTGCACAGCATAAACTAACCAGGTTGGTATTAGTGATTCTTAAATTCTACACCGATGTGCTGAATAATTGAGTTTTCAAATTGACTTGCTGTATTTGTATTTTACATCTTTATATTGAGTCTTAGCCCAGTGATCTTCAAATATTTGTTAAATTTATGTAAATATACAGATGATGAGTGTTCAGAATATTAGAATATAGTCAAATTAATTCAATTGTATAATTGTATGGAACCTAGTTGACTATTCCCTTAATGATGTCCAGTGCATTTTAAGATTTGGCAGTTCCATAAGGTCACTTAGAATGTTAGTGATTATACTGAAGATAGGAGTTGGGAGAAGGGACTCACAATTTGCTTCTGCTTTAAGTTAATGATGGTATCAGTTGGGTTCTGTAGTACATATTGCCTGTATGAGTCTTTCTGCATCCTAAACAGATATTTTTGGAAAGTAACACAAATTTAGAAGCAAGCAGAAAAGATCAAATCTTTCTTTCTTGCAGCTATCTACATCAGAAATAAGAATTGGAAAAGCTGGACAATTGTGTGTATTATATATATTTTACCTTGTTTGTGTCACTTATACTTACATCTATTTACAATTTAGTAATTTGGCAATTCTTATGTATGTTTTGTATGTGTATAGTTAAGGGATAAAACTTATGGGTTATTGTTAATTACTTGAAAATTATTGAAGGGAAGCTTTTTATGACAATCATTGTTAATAGAGAGCATTTTGACATTCTGTAACTTTACCATTAAAAATTAGTGAGTAAATAATACATTGCTATAACATATTCTGTAATCTATTAAAATCTTCATAAAAATTGACAAACACTACATGGTTTGCAAAGATGAGACAGTTAATTTTACTATTAATATGTAAATGTAGGTTAAAATCAAATAACCCTTAAGTCAATAATGAAACTTTAAAGACAGTTTTGTGTACCATACACACACATCCAAAAATCTGAGCACCATTAATCTGTCATATGTTTGATT